TGAGAATTATAAATCCATCAAGGATTTTCATATAAACATTAGTGTCTAATGACCCATAATTTCTAGGTCATGACTTTAATAAGCTGCATATCTAAATTTATTATTCTGCCAATTATGTAGCGGAACTTTTAATGATATTCATTATGGGAGAGTATATTTGATTATGGGTTTCTGCGTGAACCCGTAGGCTACAGACTCGCTTTATATCTCACCACCTTATCATTCTTGTTTTTCCTTTATACAAACACCATTTGTAACCTACAGGGTTAATACTTCAATGGTGTATAAAAGGATTAGCGAGTTGAGCTATATATACCTTTAATTGCTCTCTTTATATGTTAATCAATCTAGGCGCTTCTGGCACCTAGTTCTAGATCCAGATTGTCATATAATATGAGCAATTTGAAGGCAACTGTGTTGTCGACAACTTATAATATTCTCAAGAATTTCTCCCATATATATATAAAAGTAATTAACCAGATTGTAGTCATTTCCCAAGGATATTTATATCTGGTTGTTCCGCAACCCAGTAATATGTATATTTGGTGCACCTTATAAATTTACTGGGTTTTCTTGTCTTCTGGACGATCGTTATAAAGATATAACTTTTTTTTAAAAGATTTTCAAGAGCTCTAAGATTTTCAAGAGTGACATAAATTCTTTATTTTTCTATCACAGTGAATCTCCCGCACTTCTGGCGTTAAGGAGTATCGATAGATATTTATGGTCCAAATTTTGGGGAATATATGTGGGACCTAGTCACTCTTTTTATGAAATAGATTTATTTGGCAGATATGTTTGATTTCTTTCTGAACTTCCAGTTCAGTCTAATTGGTACTTGAATTTAATATTTGAAGATCATTTAATGAAATTTCTCGGCATTCCATTTCAATTTTGATCATATCTCCCCCTAATGCCGTGAACTGATCTTCATGCAGTCAGCGTATCCATCGCGTCTCTCTCAGGGGCTTTAAATATTGGAGACAACAGATGGAGGTTTAGATGGATATGTTATGGTGGTTATGTAATAGATTGGACTGCATTCATAAGAATAGAAACGCAGATTTGGGAAATGTTTGTTTGAAAACCACATATTAGATGTAAGGGGGAACATGGATATGCAGTGTGTCGAAATTTTTAGCATAAATATTGCATTTCCCCACCAAGTATCCGGCACATTGAAATTTTGAAAAATAATGGTTTATTAATAAGCCATAACTTTATTAATTAGCTAAACCATTTGGGTATGAGCATAAGGTACTTGATACTCCGCCTTAATTCTTAATGTCATATAATAATCGTCGAAAAAGTGGACAAAGTTCATAGGATAATCCAAAAATTAGGCATTATCCATAAGATACTAGATCATATCCTTTAGATTATGAAGAACGAGTAACATATGTCTACTCACCAGATGAAGGATAATTGATCAAAGTAGGATATTTGATCAAAGTAGGATATTTGATCGAATGAAGGCATTTCAATTTTAAAAAATTGATGGAGTAAAAGTGAAGCTCTACCGGAACCCACAAAGGAAACCTTATCAATAATTGCAGGAAGAAGTTAGATGTTTGTATAAAGATCTTCCAAAATAAGACATCACTGAAATGATGTTGAATGAAAAAGTAGGTCATCAATATAACCAACAAGAGCGTTTGCTTCAGGCAAGGCAACTTGACTGGATTCAACATTGTGATGTTCATTTAGGTTTCAACAAAATGCTTCGGGATGTGGCACGCACGTGATCGGTGCCTTTTTAACCAACAATTGAAGCATATTTGCTATTGGGCCAGAATTATGATCGTATGAAGCAACGTTCTTTTCATTAAGGGTATATGAGTGCTTTTTTATTTTTATTTTTAACAAGTACCCTTAGGTAGTATGAGTGACGCTCTTCTAGAGCCCACAATAGAAAACATTTATCAAATGGAAGGAAGAAGTTAGAGGTTTGTAGATAATGATCAAACCTTGAGCTCGTGTTTCAGTAGATCAACATTATTACCAACAAGAGTGTTTTCTTCAGGCAATGTAGCATGGTTGGATTCAACCTTTTGCTTCTCATTATCGTGATTTTATAATCTGTTGGTAGTTTTCAACAAAATGCTTCGGGGTGTGGCACGTACTTGATCAGTGCCCTGTACACCCGCACTTGAAGCATACTCGTTGTTGTGCCAGAGTTCAAATTGTATGAAAGTGGTTGTCCTCGACGAGTTGGATCATATTGCTGTGTATTATGGTTTCGGGAGTTATTGTTACCACATTTGCCTTGATTCCTATCGCGACCTCTTCCTCGGCCCCTCTTGGTGTTGCATGAATGAGCAACATTGTGTGCTTTGGGCACATGTGCAGAGTTAAATTGGGACACAATTTTGTGTAAAGCCAAATTATAATCAGTCACTGACTTTAGAAATCTTGAAATCTCAAGTCAATCAAATTGTGTCTAAAGAAGAGCTAGGAATATTTGCTAGTTAAAACTATCCTTCAGGGATTTTTATAAGGCAAAGGAATCCTTTTTCAGAAAGGTATTCATTTTTCAGGTCATGGTTCAGATGATGGCGAGGAAAAAAAATTAGGGTTTTTAGCTTTCCAAGCCTCATCGCTCGTGGACTTCTAAGTAATTGCTCCCATTGAAACCAAGCTCAGTGAATTCACACTCGATGATAGCAGCCAAGATCGAAATTTTGCAAAAAAAGTTTATATATACTAAGGCTGCCTAAAAACGAGGATCCACTTCTAAAGAATAATTTGACATTCGCATAATAATAAAACTATATATTATGCATATGAACTCATATAAAGCAAACAAATTGTATAATGGAATCTTTACTCCTCCTTCACCCATATCTCTTGTTCTATATTTTACTTTTATCTTTTATATTATTGATACAAATGCTACAATCCACCGGTTAGGAGCTAAAGGCCAACGGGCACAAACAACATTACAACACGTTATCAGTACGCACGCTCAATCCCCCGTGAACGGTAATTTATGCATTTTTTTATGCATATTATATTAGTATTTGGCGTTCGTGATTTTTTATTATTATTATTACTATCTCGAATTGCTGTTTAAAATAATTTAGCAGGAATAATACAATGCATGAGACCTTTTAGTAGTAAAATTTGGGCATACATGATACAAATGCTTGCATATAATTCTCCATCTAGTTCTTCTGTATTAAGTCAGACTTGTATGCTTGCTCTGCAATTTACATATGCATTGTTCATTCTAGCATATTGGAAACATTATTCAGTGCGCAATTTTGACAACATAAACTGGTTTTTTTTCATACAATTTTTTTTTTCAAAAAGAAAAACCGAATTTATTTTATATTAAAATATACATATATTATCCTGTATGTATTTTATGTGAATAGCAAGAAGGAACTTGAAATCTTGTCTATACAAACCATCTTCAGTACAAGAATGGAGAAATTCATATATATATTTATTTATATTTCGGCATACACATTTAAAAAAAAAAAAAAAGTGTAAAACAAAAACCTGTTTTGTTTTTTTGGTCGCCGTTATCCGCCTTCAATCTGCGTCCCGAGTGGTCGTAGTTCGGTTGGAGAAGGCAGGCGGCGGCGCTTGGGCGGAGGACAACAGGCGGCGACGCTCCTCCACGAGGTTGCCGCTACCGTTCACGATGTTCCGGCTTAGGGAGGCTGTGGCGACGGTGGATCCCGCTCACATTTTCCGTCTCCGATCTGCCACCATCTTTCCATTCCCGATCTGCGTTCTGGGGATGGTGGCGCTGCTTTGCAACGGCGACGACGGCGTTATGCGATCGTCCGGCAGAAGTCGGCTCGCGATCGTTCCGGCAGAAGGCAGAGGCGCGGTGCTCCGGCAGAGGGCCGCGACATGGTGCTTCGATAGTTGACGGTGGCGACCGATGGTGATGACATTTGCATCCGCTTTTCTCTCCCTCTCTCGCACGTTTTTCCGGTTTTATTGAGTGCTGCGTTTTGAATAATGTTGAAGGCAGCTAGGGTTGAGAGGACTATGCTTAATCCATAACAAGGAGACTTGGGCCGGGTCTGGCCCAATTTGGTCAGATCTGGGCTTATTAATACAAATGATTTGAGTTTATTGTTGTGGGGCTCATTTTGTGCTCATAAGTTATTGAACAATGATGATGGATTATGTTGGACCATGATTGGCCCAATTCGATATTTTTGGAGGGTCTTCTTTGGTTTGTTTAAAGTATTAGGGATTGCTTTAAATTCCGGACTCATTTATTTTAAGATTTGGGTTTAATTTTTTTCTCTTTTTTGGATTAACCCAATTTTCTTAAAATCATCTTTCATCATTTGTTATTTGGGCATATATTTATTTATTTAAGGTATTTGGACTAGCCTTAAATCTATGCATGCTCATACACTTAATTGCTATTATTGTGCAATTTGTTTGCTTTATATGAGTTCATATGCGTAATATATAGTTTTATTATTATGCGAATGTCAAATTATTCTTTAGAAGTGGATCCTCGTTTTTAGGCAGCCTTAGTATATATAATTTTTTTTGCAAAATTTCGATCTTGGCTGCTATCATCGAGTGTGAATTCACTGAGCTTGGTTTCAACGGGAGCAATTACTTAGAAGTCCACGAGCGATGAGGCTTGGAAAGCTAAAAGCCTTAATTTTTCTTTTTCCTCGCCACCATATGAACCATGACCTGAAAAATGAATACCTTTCTGAAAAAAGATTCCTTTGCCTTATAAAAATCCCTGAAGGATAGCTTTAACTAGCAAATATTCCTAGCCCTTCTTTAGACACAATTTGATTGACTTAACTTGAGATTTCAAGATTTCTAAAGTCAGTGACTGATTATAATTTGGCTTCACACAAAATTGTGTCCCAATTTAACTCTGCACCTGTGCCCGAAGCACACAATGTTGCTCATTCATGCAACACCAAGAGGGGCCGAGGAAGAGGTCGAGATAGGAATCAAGGCAAAGGTGGCAACAGTAACTCCCGAAACCATAATACACAGCAATATGATCCAACTCGTCGAGGACAACCACTTTCATACAATTTGACCTCTGGCCCAACAACGAGTATGCTTCAAGTGCGGGTGTACAGGGCACTGATCAAGTACGTGCCACACCCCGAAGCATTTTGTTGAAAACTACCAACAGATTATAAAATCACGATAATGAGAAGCAAAAGGTTGAATCCAACTATGCTGCATTGCCTGAAGCAAACACTCTTGTTGGTAATAATGTTGATCTACTGAAACACGAGCTCAAGGTTTGATCATTATCTACAAACCTCTAACTTCTTCCTTCCATTTGATAAATGTTTTCTATTGTGGGCTCCAGAAGAGCGTCACTCATACTACCTAAGGGTACTTGTTTAAAAATAAAAATAAAAAAGCACTCATATACCCTTAATGAAAAGAACGTTGCTTCATATGATCATAATTCTGGCCCAACAGCAAATATGCTTCAATTGTTGGTTAAAAAGGCACCGATCACGTGCGTGCCACATCTCGAAGCATTTTGTTGAAACCTAAATGAACATCACAATGTTGAATCCAATCAAGTTGCCTTGCCTGAAGCAAACGCTCTTGTTGGTTATATTGATGACCTACTTTTTCATTCAACATCATTTCAGTGATGTTTTATTTTGGAAGATCTTTATACAAACATCTAACTTCTTCCTGCAATTATTGATAAGGTTTCCTTTGTGGGTTCCGGTAGAGCTTCACTGTTACTCCTTCAATTTTTTTATAAATTGAAATGCCTTCATCCGATCAAATATCCTACTTTGATCAAATATCCTTCATCTGATGAGTAGACATATGTTACTCGTTCATTATGATCTAAAAAGATGGATATATATGATCTAGTACCTTATGGATAATGCCTATTTTATGGATTATCCTATGAACTTCGTCCTTTTTCGACGATTATTATATGACATTAAACATTAAGGCGGAGTATCAAGTACCTTATGCTCATACCCAAATGGTTTAGCTAATTAATAAAGTTATGGGTTATTACTAAACCATTATTTTTCAACTTTTCAATGTGCCGGATACTTGGTGGGGAAATTCTATATTTATGCTAAAATTTTCGGCACACTGCATATCCTTATTCCCCTTACATCTAATACGTGGTTTTCAAAAAAAAACATTTCCCAAATCTGCGTTTCTATTCTTATGAATGCAGTCCAATCTATTACATAACCACCATAGCGTATCCATCTAAACCTCCATCTATTGTCTCCAATATTTAAAGCCCCTGAGAGAGACGCGATTGATACGCTGACTGCATGAAGATCGGTTCACGGCATTAGGGGGAGATATGATCAAAATTGAAATGGAATGCCGAGAAATTTCATGAAATGATCTTCAAAAATTAAATCCACGTACCAATTAGACTGAACTGGAAGTTCAGAAAGAAATCAAACATATCTGCCAAATAATCTTTTTCATAAAAAGAGTGACTAGGTCCCATACATATTCCCCAAAATTGGACCATATATATCTATCAATACTCCTTGACGCCAGAAGCGCGGGAGATTCATTGGGATAGAAAAATAAAGAATCAACTAGATCTAGTAAAGAATTTATGTCACTCTTGAAAATCTTAGAGCTCTTGAAAATCTTAAAAAAAAAGTTATATCTTTATAACGATCGTCCAGAAGACGAGAAAACCCAGTAAATTTATAAGGTGCACCAAATATACATAATACTGGGTTGCGGAACAACCAGATATAAATATCATTGGGAAATGGCTATAATCTGGTTAACTTTAAAAATTACTTTTATATATATGGGAGAAATTCTTGAAAATATTATAAGTTGTCGACAACACAGTTGCCTTCAAATTGCTCATATTATATGACAATCTGGATCCAGAACTAGGTGCCAGAAGCGCCTAGGTTGATTAATATATAGAGAGAGCAATTAAAGGCATATACATCTCAACTCGCTAATATATTCCTTTTGTACACCATTGAAGTATTAACCCTGTAGGTTTATAAATGGTGTTTGTATGAAGGAAAACAAGAATGATAATGTGGTGAGATATAAAGCGAGTCTGTAGCCTAAGGGTTCACGCAGAAACCCAGAATCAAGTATACTCTCCCATGATAAATATTATTAAAAGTTCCGCTACATGATTGGCAGAATAATTCTAGATATGCAGCTTATTAAAGTCATGACCTAGAAATTATGGGTCATTAGACACTAATGTTTATATGAAAATCCTTGATGGATTTATAATTCTCAAAAATGAAAGAGAATAAATATCACAACACGTTTGTTGTTGAAGTACAATTGCTTTACTCAAACTTAAAATAGTGAAGCAATTGATTGAGTAATTTCCTCTTAAAATAGGAAATTATAGAAATGAATATGTACCAGTAGGTACTTATTAAGGGGCTTATTGGAGATGGAGAATCAAGTATTACATCGACCTGTAGATCGAGCATTTCCTTAAAAGAAATTTTACATACTATTTAGTCTATGTCCAAATAATCTCCCGAAGTAGATAAAGACCATTTTTACCTAAAAGGATACTTCAGGACCAGAAGTCCGCTGCTTCAAAACGTCATTTTTTTTACCTTTTCTTTGAGACCGAAAATTTCCAAATTCGCGTATTTTTTGTAAAGAGCGATTTGGTGATTCTCCTAGAAAGAAAAGGAAATGATGTTAAATAATATCCATTAATATCCTTACGGTATAAAATATGTCTTTCGAGAAGTCATTTGAATATTGGCATTCTGTTAAATGTCATGACTTGAATTGATATATTATAAATCAATTTAAGCTTTAAAGCATCTTAAGCCTAAAGAATAATACTTGTTCTTGTAGATGTGCTTTGTACATTTTCATCTCATCATTACTCTATTATGTTCTCGCTTGGTTATAGCGACTGTTAAGTTATGCGATGAGATTAGGAATAGCAAGTCAAGGTACAAATATTCATATTGATGCTTTTTGACATGAAGTCATCATACTTGGACAAATGAACGTATATAGGTTTCATGATATAAACTCCAGAAGAGTGATAAAATATTTGTCCAAAAGATTTGCTCCAGTGACAAGTTAGCAAATGTACACCTACAAAATATGCATAAGATTGATATGCGTAGGTAAAGAAAATTATTATATTTAGGGGGAGCAACACAATATAAACTATAAATAATTTTTATTGGTCCAGATGATCATGAGAAAATATGATAAAATCTAATGACAATCCTGAAGATTGTACCACATCCCTTGATAAATTCTAATGACAATCCTGAAGATTGTACCATATCCCTTCTCTTTTGAAACAATGATTTTACTTTAAACAATGTAGAATTTGAAGATTGTTATCTTCAGGGGGAGACGAGAAGTACATTCACTCGAGTCAATCTTGTAGATTGATTAATCCTGTAGATTGGGTCTTAAAAGGACTAATAGTTGCACTTTTTGCAGCGTGTATATTCACTCGAATCAATCCTGTAGATTGGGTCTTAAAAGGACTAATAATTATAATTTTTGTAGCATATACATACCATGTACTCTTTTCCTCACTAGGTTTTTCCCAATGGGTTTTTCTAGTGTGGTTTTTAACGAGGCACGAGTATGATATAGTAATGTCAATTGAGGTGTTGCAAATATATAAATACTTAAATAGACGAACCCCGAAATCCTGAAGATTATGCCCTGAAGTTTGTACTCTTTTTCCCTTAAACTAAGTTTTTCCCACAGGGTTTTCTTAAGTTATGGTTTTTAATGAGGCAACCCGTACCATATATGATTCTGCAAATATCATGTACTCTTTTCTTCAACTAGGTTTTTCCCACGTGGTTTTCCTAGTGAAGTTTTTTAACGAGGCATGAATGTATTCAAATATACCATCTATATACCTTGTACTATTTTCTTGTCTAGGTTTTTCCCACAGGGTTTTCCTAGCAAGTTTTTAACGAGGCAAGGTCATGGATACATAATGTCCAAGGGGGAGTGTTATAAAGTATTTCTTAATAATGTGGACATTATGAGTAGCTTTTGTAACAGTTGTAACGCTCATATTTATATCTATCATTTACTGCTTTCCATTACAAATGTATTATATATATCTCTTCCTTGTACTCAAATGAGTAGTTGGTATAATGGAATCTTTACTCCTCCTTCACCCATATCTCTTGTTCTATATTTTACTTTTATCTTTTATATTATTGATACAAATGCTACAATCCACCGGTTAGGAGCTAAAGGCCAACGGGCACAAACAAGCTCCTTCATCATCATTCAAAACGCAGCAGCTTAATAAAACGGAAAAAACGTGTGAGAGAGGGAGAGAGATGCGGATGCAAATGTCATCACCATCGGTCGCTACCGTTAACTGCAGAAGCACCATGCCGCGGCCCTCTGCCGGATGATCGCATAACGGCGCCGTCGCCGTTGCAAACCGGCGCCACCGTCCCCACAACGCAGATCGGAGATGGAAAGATGGTGGCAGATCGGGATCCACCGTCGCCACAGCCTCCCTGAGCTGGAAGATCATGAACGGTAGCGGCAACCTCGCGGAGGAGCGTCGCCGCCATCAAGCAGCACCACCATCGACACCACCGGACGAAGCTGGCCGTCGGCGACGCTGCCGTCAAACCTCTGGAGATCTGTCGCTTGTCGTCCTCCGCCCAAGCGCCGCCGCCTGCCTTCTCCGACCGAGCTACGACGACCCGAGATATAGATCGAAGGCGGATAACGGCGGCAAAAAAAAACAGCCAAAACAGGTTTTTGTTTTTCATTTTTTCGAAAAACATACGGATATTGCTGCATATTAGTGGCAATTTTTGAAATTTTTCGATCGTTTAAATACAATTGTTTTGATTTTCATAGCCGGCTATCAAGATCGTTTCTGATCAAAGCCCTTGATTATTTGTTTCCGGGGGTTGGCGGTGAGGAAGTGAATCCACCGGTTGCTCCACCGGAAATCTACCAGATTCCAGCGACAACACAGCTGCGCCTTGGCCATGGTGAATAATGGCCAAAGGTTTTAACCCACCGGAT